TTTCTTGTATGCATAATGTTTGTTCTTAAAGTGGTGTACTTGTGGTTTGTTGTAATTTATGTGTTTAGGGGGTACATGTTGCAGCTCTGTATACCTTAAGCATAATGTAGCATATTGATCGTAGGCGCTGTATGTGGCATTCACACAGATTATGGCCTTACCTGAAAATATTGCAGATGGCTTTTACAGTCAAACCAAGCTCTGGTAGATACACTAGCTGGTGCTTTCCAGAATCTCTGGCATCAGAGGGCACCAACTGTAAAGCTCATTAAGTTTCATGGACACCCAAGGAAAGCAGGAGACCAGACATTGGATGAATGGCTCCATCATGCTCCACATATGCACGGCAACTTGGGCTTTCTGGGGAAGTAAGGGCAAATGTAATTTTGGATTTTTTAGGTGGTGTAGCAAGGGAAGAAGTAGACGGCAGTCCCTTTAGGGAGAGAGATACACGTCCTGAGTTAGTCGAATCGCGCTGCGCAGTCGATTTGGGTCTTCTGAGACTATCCAGGTATTGACTGGTCATTGTTCAGTCGAATGGCAGTTAGAGGGAGAGAGTTTGGTTGAGTCGGCAGCCCCTAGGGAGGGAGATGGCAAGGTATTGATACAGTTAAGGCATTCTCAATTCATCGTTGCAGCGAGAGTTGCACAAACTCGTTTATAACCAATCAGACCTGTCATTTTTTGTTTTGCGAGATATGGCACTGGGGCTTTTCCGGTATCAGAATGTTAAAGGAAAAGAACTTCCGAATGCTCTGACGTAAACCAAGTGCACTCAAAAGATGCGGTGGGTGCGCAGAGAAGCGCGCCTGGAAATCAAATCAGAATGCAATCTTGATGCAGATCATGGACAGTAAAAAACAACTGATCACCTGTGTACAGCAGTTAATGGCGTAGCAGGAGGAAACTAACTCCAAAATGAGCCTATGCCAAATGCACAGCGATAGGCAACTCACTAAATGCAGTTTCTGCCAGAGATCGGGACACCGAGCTGAGAACTACATTAAACGGCAAAGGGCTCCAAAAAAGTGACGGAGCTTGCCGAGTCCAAATCCAATGACAAGGCAACGGAAAACGCGTATAGCCTCCGTGACAGAGGACATTGTGACGGAGGAAGTTTTGCGTGATGAATCGCTCACAACACAGTTGTCTGGAAGTTCTCAGAAGTAGAGAAAAACGTAGCGTTGCAGACATGCGACAGAAGTTCCTGGCCATATGCCCTATAGCCACTATTTCACTCATTGGTGTCAGAATACAATGTGTATTAGATACAGGAGCATAAAGCTCTTTGTTTTCTTGGGAATTCTTCCATGGGCACCTCTCAGGTGCAGGAAAACTCACACCAGTCAATTCATATATGAGGTTAGTTGGGGTCAACTACCAATTAGACATCCCCGTTGAGGGGTGTTTTGATGCCAACTTGCATGCGGGAGCTTCAAGTGAGTTTGTTGGTTTCTAAAGGGACCACCTCATCTCCACCAGGGCGTAGAGAAAAGACGTCCGGTGTTGCTTGGGTGTAATGGGCTAAGAAAAATTGTCTCTATGATGGGCCAAGTTCAAAATGTGAATGTAGGGCCAGATTGGGATCTTGCTTTACGCTGGCTTGCATGGCGCTGTCGAATCTTCGGTTCCTGATCAAACTGAGGTCAGTGAAAATTCCCCTGAGATTTATGGTGTGTGGACGGTAGGGCGTCATGTAGTTCCGCCTGGTGCAGAAAGTTTCTTGTTCTCTTAATGCAGGGTTTTCCAACAATAAGGACGACCAGTTTCTCTTTTGTCCTCACCTCTCGGGTATACTTCCAACTGGCAGTATCGGTAAATTGCAGTCAAACGATCCTGGTCAAAAGGTAAGGCGTCAAGTCATTGAGGGTATCGTGAAACCAAAGTGGTGTCTTTCTGGGTATTTTTATCGCCAACAAAAGTTTGGAGGAAATTTCTATTCCACCTTTCACAAAAGTGGCCAGAGTTTCCAAAGCTCAAATAAGTGTGCAAAGATTTGTTGAGCCCAGAGAGAGTGAATGTTTTGTATATGTTCGGCGTGTAGTTATAGATCCAGCTGTGGCGCGACTGCTGGAAATTGGTCAACCCTTCGGTGATCTTAATATTGACAGAGCTAGTGCTCAGTTGAGCAACACATTAAAGGTTGGACTGGGTGTTGTAACGATTTGAGTCTCATGGTTTTAAAGATGAATGGGAAAAAAGTCAACTCTTCCAGATGTCCATTCGACACCTATGTCACATTGTGGGTGCTCAGGCTGACAGGGTGCATGTAGACCCTGATAAAGCACAGTAAGTTTGAGAATGGCCAATTCCCACTGACATTCACCAGCTTCGATCATTTCTCAGGTTGGCCTCTTTTTATAGAAGATTTGTACCAAATTTTGCTCGGATAGCAGAACCATAAAGCTGAAGTAAAAGCAGGAAAGGCAGGTTCGTCAATTTTAAGTGGTGTGAAGAGACAAAGACGGTATTCAGCGCCCTTATCAAGGCATTTTGTGAGGCACCGATGTTAAGATATCCAAGGTTCGACCGGCAGTTTGTTTTGGAGGTTGGTGCCTCACTTAAAGGTTTAGGGGCCTGTATTTCTCACCACAGTGATTCTGGGGCCTTGCATAAGAATGCCTTCGCCAGTAGGTGTCTCAGAGAAGCAGAAAAATCCTACTTGAATCTGTCCAGTTTGAAGTTGGAGCCCATTGCATTAAAGTGGCTCGTGGCCGAAACATTTCGAGAATACCTCTTCGGACACCGTACTCTTGTCTTGGCTGATAATAATCCATTGGCACACCTCAAGACTGCCAAGTTGGGTGCAGTAGAGCATCGATGGGTTGTTTAATTGACATCTTTGATTTAAATATCCGATACCGTTCTGGAAGGTCAAGCAAATGTGCTGATGCATTGTGTCGATATCCGTCAGCTTGCATTAAGGAGTCTTCCCTGACCATTGGTAAGGTTGTTGGGGGCACGCATGCCTTTACCAGTACACGACCTTTTACTCCTGCAAAAAAATAAAAAAGAAACTTCATTTGCAACATAACATTAAAATATAGCCTCGATGAAATCCTGTGTTATTATGTCAGTTTGCTAACACCCTTGAAATGAGGTGGAAAGGAACAAGAGAATCTAGTGCACCGCCTTTCTTTTTGCTCCGTCGCTGCTCTCGGACTATAAGCAATTTCCAAGCAAATTTGTCCTTAAGCTGTGTACACTTGATGTTAGCTGAAGTTGTTTCAACTGTCTGAGAAACTGTGAGATTTGTTAGGGGTAATACAATGTGCAATAAGCGCTACAAAATATCTGTGCCGACATCTTTGGCTTTATTTGTTTCATGTAAAACCACCCTTGTCACAACTGTAGAGCAAGATGGAGTAATTATGTCTTAAAAATTAGCATTTCCCTGTTCCACAATACCTCATAATTATTTATATCACGATGAGAACAGTGAAGTAAAGGAGAAAGAAAGCGAGGAAAAAGAAAGTCAAGGAGTTCTCAATTCATTACGCTAGCAAGCACAATCACTGATGTGGCCACTGATCTTGAGAGCAGAGGGTACAAATTAAAACCAACCAACTTGGCAGGTTCTCTGAATATTAGTTGTCTGTTGTACCCTTAGTTAACACCAATGAGCAATTGGCAGTCTATCTCCGTTCAGGATATATAGAGTCTGCTACAAAGCACTCTGCTAAATTCCCATTTTTGGTACTATTATATCCCAAGTTGATAAAATAACCCCAATATCTTATCTTCACAATCTCACCCAATGGGGACTCATTTTGAAGAGGGTTCTTAAAGGGAAGGAGTACCATCAGCAGAGGGCTGAAATACAAAGACCCGCACAGTTTGTCATTATTTATTGATTATACAGGTACAAATTAAATATTTGAGAAAAACAAAATGAATTTACGATTAGGTCCGGAAAACTGCCCCACTGCAAACATGCTAACTACTTGAACAACTTTTGACAGACGTGTTGAGTCTCGTTTTTATGTCAGCAGTTAGAGTGACTCTTGAATTGGAAAATAAACAGTGAAAAGTTGTTTCTTTGTAGATGGCGCATCGTGTGGGGATGGATGTTCCAGTAATCTACACAGTATCGATGTCAGTGAGACCGGGCGATAATTCCCTGGCTCTGAACGATTTCCTTTTTTTGAACAAAGGAACAACGTAGGCCAAGAAAGATTTCTCATAGGAGAAAGTAAAGAAAGGAGTAATACTGCTGGCAATTTTTTGAGTAGCTTTGAAGTCATCCCTTCTGGTCCTGGTGCTTTCTGGACACTAAGTTCCCTAAGAGTTTTCCCACACCATGAAAAAATGGGCGGCAAATCTGGAAACTCACCTTTTCTTGGAATACTATTAAGATTTCCAGGAAAAAAAATCACATTTATATGGGCCATTCCATATTGAGGTTGATGGAGCACAAATTGTGACGGTGTCCTTGTTACATGGGTAACTTTTACCGCCTGTCATGACCTGTAGAGGAAGTCATTTACTCTGTAAAAGTAACACACACCTCTGTATTCAGACTTGCAAGATGTAGATCTATAATTTGGAATTCACGTGTAGGGAACTAGCTGTTCATTTTTACGGAACCCACGTAACAACGGACGTCGTCACAAACTGTGCCCCAACCTCATGGAATGATGACCCACATCTTCGTCAGCTATACATACGGAATTGCGAGTGGGCAAATAGCAGTCTTCTTCAGATCCAGTTGCGTGGGAAGTTTCATTATTGTCCATTAGATTTAACATAGAACCAGGGCCCAATTTATTATTCATGATGTGAGTTTTAGGCCTATTACAATCATATTTATCAGAAAGGTCAGAAACGGGAACGAACAATTAGGGATTAAATTTTGCTGCATAATAGAAATTAGAGCTTGTTTACATATTCCTGTAACAAGGGGATTTTCCGTGCCAAAGTGCATACACGTGACGGACAACACCAGGCTATCGACCAATAGGAACCGTGGGGAGTGTTCTTGGAAACCAATAAAAAGCAGTCAATCACAGTCTGTCGGTCTCCTTTGCGACCAAGCAGCAGACCTTGCCTGACATTTAAGCCTTTCGCCCAGTTCGTTTAGGTGAGTTTCAAGCAATTGTTTTTGACGTTTGTATTTTTACAGGTAGTTGCTATGTCGTGTTATCATCTTCAGCATTCTGAAATTGCCGTTGACATTTAATGAGCCTACTCTTCCTTCAAAGCAGGAAAACTCCGCCCCGATTCATCATGCCTGCCAACTTCAGCGGCAAGTGGGTCTCTTGCGCATCCGAGGGCTGGGACAAGCTCTTGGGCAAGTTCGGCGTGCCCCTGGACAAGTTCCCGACCGACATACAGGTGACAGAAGAAATCAACCAGAGTGGGGACACCATCAACATCAAGGCCACTAACAACAAGGACGACAAGGTCAAACAAACCACCATCAACGTGGGCCAAAACTTCAAGGACACAATCGCGGGCGTCAAGGAGCTGGAGTTTACCACGGCATGGCAGGGCGACAAGCTGGTATTGACGAAAATCGACAACAAGGGCTCTGTGACCCGTGAATTGAGCGGGGATAACATGATTGTCTGCCTTAACCACGAGGAAGTGGTCGCCAAATCTACCTTCAAGAAAGCGTAGACATTCACCTGCAGATCCAAGTCCGGGGAAAAGAGGGCGAGTACACTTATTTCCAGAATATCCCGACCTCATAAAAACAGGTGGACCGGGATATCCACAGCATTTTAGCGCATCTCATACATGGCAGCCACCTGCAAACAGCGAGTTGATGCTCCTCAATCAGCAGATATTGAACCGTTCAAATTGAACTGAAATCTTTTGCCCGGCAAGCAAAGATCTGGAGTTTTAATATCATAACTCCCTTGCTATTTCCGCATCTTGAATTGAAGGTAGATCCATTTTAGAGTCCTTGAAGTTTGGGAAAGTAATATTGTTCAATTTAGACTGCTAAAGGTTACCGTGTTGACCGTTTAATGCACGATCGGAAATTAATGAAGTTACACTAGACACCATAAACTGTAAACCCAAAGTGATAATTTACTAATTATAAAATATTTTCTCGCCATTTGGATAAACTGGTCGAATTCTTGAACTCTACAACATACAAAGAGGCGATAATATAAAACTCATACACTTCAAATTAACCCTCACGATTTCAGAACCTTTAAAGTTTCTTTTTAACACTATTTTGGGTCAGTTTGGTCGTGGAACCGAATACATTTTGCAAGGCTGAAATGTTTAGAGCAAAATCAAGTGGTTGTTCCTCAGTTGCACACCTTCAATGAAACTATTTATAGTGGCCTCACACAAATGATGATTACTCTTCAGAATATTTGGCAGCCACGATTGGAGAATATGTTGTCATGATTGAACCGACTGTTGTCGCACTCCAATTAAAGAGTCCAAAAGCAAAGTAACGAACCAGCTTTAACAGTGCACGACCTTTTACTCCTGAAAAAACAAATGGACAGGAAACTTGCCTGATCATTGCTTTATTTGCATCACCAGGGATAACCTTAAAATACGGCCTTAATAAATTCTTGTGTAATAATGTCACTTGCTAACAAACTATCCCTGAGGTGGAGAGGAGCAAGAAAAGCTAGTGCATCTCCTTACCTTTTTTCTTCGTCACTGCATGACTTAAGTGCTTTACCAGCAAATTGTCCTTGTGCTGTGTAAACTTGAAGTTAATTGAAGTTCCAACTGCCAGAGAAAACTGTGAGATTTGATAGGTTTAATAAAGACTTCATAAGTGCTACAAAATATGTGCCGATATCTTTTGTCTTCAATTTTTGATCTGAAGTCATCCTTGTCATAATTGTAGAGCAACATGGAGGAAGTATGTATGTAAAATATGCATTTCCCTACATCACAACATCTCGTAACTATTTATCACAGTGAGAACAGTGAAGTAATAGATAGAGTATAGAGAGAGAAAGCGAAGGAAAAGAAAAGTCAAGGAATTCTCAATTCATTACGTTAACAAGCATCAACTATGCGGCCACTCGTCTTAAGAACAGAAGGCACAGATTAAAAAAAGGAAAACAACTTGTCAGGTTCTCTGAATATTAATTTTTATTGGGACTCTTAGTAATCACCGATGAGCAACTGAGATTGTGTAGATCTTTGCCAAGATGAACTCCTTGTGTCCTTGGGTTTTCATTTGAGAGGAGAATGGCTAAAAGACACGGTTAAAAAGTGTCCGAGAAAGTTGAGGGTTGCCACATGAAAAATGGCTATGAGAAGACTTCGGAAAATCACCATTCGGAGGGCGATTTTGTTTTGTGGGAATAACTAAAAGTGTAATCGGTTAACCCCCCAGAAAATTGAAAAGAAATTGAAAGATAATGGAACAAATAATAATCTAATATGTGTTTCAGAAACTTCAGGCATGGGCCCTGAAGAACGCCAATTTTACACTGTTTTCAATGGGGCTTGATTTAGTGGCCTACTATTTACTGCAAAGCACACTACTAAATTCCCATTTTGGTACTATTGTCCTTGATCACCGTATCTTATCTTCACAATCTCACCCAAGGGGAACTCATTTTGAAGAGGGTTCTTAAAGGGAAGGAGTACCACCAACAGAGGGCTGAAATACAAAGACCCACGCAATTTGTCATTATTTCTTGATTATACAGGTACAAATTAAATATTTGACAAAAACAAAATAAATTTGCAATTAGGTCCGGAAAACTGCCCCACTGCAAACATGCTTAACCACTTGAACAACTTCTGACAGACGTGTTGAGTTTTATTTGCTCGTTTTTATGTCAGCAGTTAGAGTGACTCTTGAAATGGAAAATGAACTTACAGTTAAAATGTGTCCATTGCAGATGGCGCATCGTGTGAATGGATGTTCCAGTAATTTACACGGTATAGCTATCAGTGACGTGGCGATAATTCCCACGCTGTGAGCTATTCCTTTTTTGAAGGAGCAACATTAGCCATTAGCCATTAGTTTCACCTGTAGGATCTTTGATAGATGTTGGTCATAAGAGGAGCAATACTGCAGGCGTATTATTTTCTGTATCCCATCTGGTCCTGGAGCTTTCTGAATACTCAGTTCCCAACGAGCTTTTCCGAAGCATGAGTAATTATGTGCTTGGACGTATATGTCTGGAAACCCCAGATTTCTTGGAATGCTGTTACGATCGTCCTTCGTGACTACTGATTGAAAATGCTCTCTTAAAGCCTAGGCTATCTCCAAGGCTGATGTAGCTATACCGGGCAAGATATGGGACGGAGGGGTACCCCCCTTACCTGTCCAATCCCTATACACACTTTAGACGATTGTTACCTAACACATCCCCCCTAAAATCTGTAAAAACAATCCTGAGATTCCGATCAAACAATGACAAAGGCGGGGGGGGGTTCTCTCCATCCCATATCTTGCTTCAAATGGATGTAGAAAGTCCTTTAACAGTATTCAGTGCTGCAACACCAGATGAAATTTGGCAGATGTTTTTTATTAGGGCACCCTTTTTATGTCCTAGGGATGGTTGGTCGAATTAAATTCCTACCAAAATAAATCTATGCTGCTGCCGGATAGATGACACGACTGAGTAAACCAGGGAAAGTACACTACATGTTTATTAGTCACCTGTTTTTATATTGACTTAGTGAATTGAATTCTTGGTTATTTGAAATTTGACTTGTAGCCAAAGGGTAAATTGAGCAACTAATTATAAAAAAATTGAAATTAGAAATACTGTATTTTAAAAACGTACATTGCAGCATGTGTAAAACTATTTTACATATTCACGGTACCGGAAACAAGAAACATCACTGTAAATTTTACCTGAACTATGCAGAGAGCCTGCCAGGACAAACGGAAAGAGCCCAAGCATGCAGTCAAAACAAAAATAATCCTAAAAAAAATTAACAAGCAGTCCCAACTATGGATTTTTTTTCAATCTGTGTTCCCAGACTATAAATGAAGAGTGTACAGATGACAGCAAATCTTGTAAGGGGGAACTGAATGCATTAGGAGGTCTTGCGTTAGGTAGGTTTCCTTCCATTGTTTCTTTTTGCGTCGTTAATACTGTACACTACTACTCTGTACTCAGTCTTGATTGTGTGTTTTTGCAAGACTGCCTGATATCAAAGCTCCAGTCTCAAAACTAGTGGCGTACCCAGGATTTTACCGGGAGTGGGGCACAAGGGGGCACCAGCATCTGATGGGGGAGGACATCAGCTTTCAGTGGTGCGTTTTTGGGGCAAGCATTGGTTGGCCTTGTTCAATATCCATTCATCCATTTTTGTCGGGGGGGGGACCAGGAATTTATGGAGGGCACATACTCCCCCAGGCCTCCCTTGGCTACGCCACTGCTCCAAACTTGTCGAACATCTCAAAATATTTGTGGGTCGACGTCCACATGGAGATTGCCATGCGTTCATACAGTAGGCGGTCGATCACGTTGTTTTAGGGGATGCTGGTCGTCAAGGCATCTAGTCTTTTTTCCCCTTAACTGTACATGCCAAAAAGACCCCTATCTAGATTATGCATTTAAGGGTGTCTTCCAACCTTCAGACGCAGAACCCTAAAAGCACGAAAATGAAAAAACTTTCAAATTATACCTGACAAATTTCAAAAACATTGGCAATGAGCGAGGGGATGGGTTATTTGGTTGCCTGCCCCTATTCCCGTTCTGGATCTGCACCTATATCTTGGACACAGAGCAAATTTACAGAAACAGAAAGTCTGGTCCAACAAGTCTTGGTCATCAATTCCTTAACTCCTTGATCCATCATCAGCTGGGTTAACATCAGTTGCAACATGTCTCAATTGAGAAATCTTCCTGTGATCTCTGATGTTTTGCACACGGTTTGCTACAAAAACATGGATCCTTCGTGCATCATTAGCAATGTATCCCAACACCACATTACTATCGGTCCAGAAAACCTTATGGACATTCTCATAATCAAGCTCTTCCTGTAGCAGAGCGCTGACACGAACGGAGACCACCGCAGTAGTTAGCTCAAGGCGTGGGACGGTAATTGGCTTCAGAGGACAGACTCTGCATTTTCCCATGATAAGGCTGCAGTGTACTCTCTGTTGATCATTTATTAGTCGCAAATATGAAAACTGGGCAGGGCTACTGGTACTCACATCGGAGAAATGATGGATCTCTACTGACTCAACATGACCAAAATCATCTGGCAAAAGGCATCGTCAAATCTTGAAGTTCTCCAACAAAGTCACTCCTCCATCGTTCCCAAGCTGGTCGCAGAGATTCAGGAAGAGGATCATCCACTCTGCCTGATCTCTGCAGAGCATCTGAAGTATCTGCTTACCCACTAACAGAATAGGACCCACAAATCCGAGGGGATTATACACAGAACTAATTGTCGTCAAGACTCCTCGTCTTGTGAGTGGTTTGTCCTTCAGAATATACGGAACTGAAATGTTTCAGACTCAATACACCAGTGTATCCCGAGTGCTCTCTCAATGGGAAGCGTGTCGTTTTGCAAGTCAAGGTCCTTGATTCCCTTGGCACGGTCCTCTGGGGGAGATAGCTTCAATCATTTCCCTGGAATTTGAGACGAACTTATGCAAATGCAATCCACCTCTACGACAAAGATCCTTGGTCTCTTTTATCAAACCAATGGCTTCTTCGCTGGTGGAGACGGATTTTAATCCATCGTCCACATAGAAGTTGCCCCGCAAGAAATTTGCAGCTGGAGAACCACACTCCGTTTCATAGAGGTTCGCTGTTTGCTTCAGACCGAAATTCGCACAACCGGGGGAGGGAGCAGCGCCAAACAGATGGATATTAATCTGAAAGTCGTGTGGCTCATTCTCAATGTCACCCTTTTCCCACCATAAGAATCGAAGG